ACCACGGATTTTTGTCGTCCAAGTACGCAGAAGCTGTATAATAAATAACGTTTAGTATAATGTTTTTGTTCGACAATAGTTTTAAACCTCGCAAATGGCAAATTTTGAATATCAATCGGAATCTTATTATAGAAGCGTAACACATTGCCCCATAAAAATGAATTTGAAACTTTATGAAGGCGATTGTCAAGAACAGCTATTTATATTTATTCCTCGTGTTAATGTTACGTCTGTCACTATTTTTCGTAAAAAAATTAATATTTTGTGTTAACGTGAATAACACTTTCATAAATGTACTGTGACGTGTAAGAATGTTAATCTCTTTAAATTTATCTCTCAAAGACACTCTGGGGCTCTGATTTGAAATTGCCCTAACCGCACGTTTCGCACGTCGAGGAAATACGACGTCCATTTGGACAAGTGTATGGCGACAAGAGCGAGAGAGACGAGTCCCGGGAACTTTGCTATTTTCAACAAAAGTAATTAAATAGCTGTCCGTGGCAGAAGAGGGTTGTGATTTTTTTTTAAAGAAAATTGGAATAGTTCTTGCTTTTGATAAACAGAACGATAATATAATATAAGCGAGCGAAGTTGTAGGTTGTAGTTTTGAATAAAACTTTGCCTGCTGGGAATTGGAGAAGCCAAGTGAAGCACCACCCTTTTATAAATGGCGGTTCAATTTGCTTTTAATATAAAGTTCAAATTTGCTGGTTCCTATTTTTATGAATAGACTAATCAATAAGCAAAAGGCTACGAAACGGCCAAGATACAATAGGGCCAAAAAAAGAACTCGTTTTTTAAACATGTAATTAAATTAATACTAGTAATTACGAACACACTGATAGCCCCGCACTAGGGAAACCCTGTGTCGCGGGTGTCATGGACAAATAAACGCGCAACCCCAAATTACATCCAAACTCACGAGAGAAATAAACGTAGGCCATACAAATATTTCTATAGAATAAAGAAACGACGCAGACCAGAATGGTAACCGTTCTACAAAAGAGGCAGCAAACATTTAATTAATTAAGTAAATGTTTTATTGTTAGGTTAATAGCGAAACTTGTGAACAGGCATAAAATATTATATAGACGATGTAAAGTCGTGCATAATCGGAAATATTGAAATAAAAAAAAAGGATAAATATAAAAATTTTGTGAAAATTTCTGATTGGCGCACGTTATATAAGTTGAAGCGCGTGTGTTGAACGTTTTTTCATGCAGTTCATTTTAAACATGATTAATAAAATAAATAACACGAGCGCAATATACCCGACATGTGTTTCCAGGGCCCAGGTTCGATTCCCGGGCCGGGAGAAATACGTGTATGGGCCTACATTTATTTCTCTCGAGAGTTTGGGTGTAATTTGTGGTTGTCTATGTGTGCGTCCATGGCACCCGCGACACAGGGTTTCCCTTGTGCGGGGCTATGTTGAGTGTGTGTGTTATTATTATTATAATTATTAAAAGGACTTTTATTATGTGAAAATTTTAAAAGTAATACAAACTATATGAAAAATGATGTACTAAGTGAAATTTTAGAACTCTCAAGTATTTAGGTAAGTGTTGTGTATCCGTTGCTAAGTAAACATACTTGTTTTGTCATTCTATGATGAATATAAAATGTATTTATTACATAATTTAATTTTTGTTATTTTACGTGTTTAATATTTTGGCGACGATGTCGTTTGATTTATAGAAACGTACATGTGCACGAGCCACCTTACGCGATGTGCTAACAAAAACTAACAACGCATTTCAAGAGGAACTAAATATACATACTTCCGAAGAATTAATAACACGGCTTCTTACGGTACAAAATACATAATGATGGATTACAAAACATGCAATGCCGAATTAAGGCAGTCGCACACAGGTATGAAATTGACGAGATTTATACCTATTTATGTACGAAAATTTTACGATTGCTGAACATGCTCGAATCCGAAGCATTACGTAACGTACCTCCCGCGACTCAAGCAGCTTCCGTCCCGAACGCCCCGCGCGAAGTACAACCCAGAATGAATTTTCAACCATTTCAAAAGAAGTAAAGCTTCAAAAACTTCGTAAAACGGATTTCGGTTTACATACATATATTATGTTCAACAACGTAACTGATCCTGGAACCCTATAGCTAAGATCTTTGCGGCGAAATCCGGACTTAGAAACACCCCAGAACCTTCGGGAGTGACGCCTCATGATCTTATATTTAACTGGCAAGTGTGTACCAGGCTACATGCAATGATGAGGAAACCTTCATATCTAACTAACCAGGGTATTCAAAGCGGGAGTTCGAGCGCAGGCTCGCATCTACACTTCAGACCCTAGATGGGAGTTTAGCGTGGTAACACGACGCCGCGGACGGCTCCACTACGAGATGCAAATGGATAACGGCCTTGTGTGGGTTCGCCACTTAGACCAAATTCTGCAAACTCCTATGGTACTGAGTTAAGGATTTGGGGCGGAGGATTGACGTGTATCTGTTACTAAGTAACCATACTTGTTTAGTCACTCTATTATTGACTGATGAACATAAAATGTATTACATAATTTTATTTTGATATTTTACGTGTTATTAAGCACAATACATTTATCAGCAATATCGTTCGTAGCATCTTTAAACCTCTCTCCAGAAAAGTTATTATTTTGCATATGTGATCCTATACACCAAAGTTACTACTGATACTTAATTCAGTGTATTTCTCGACATAATGTAAAACATTTCACACACCGATCTATGTACCTATACTTCTTCTTTATTCATTCCTAGAAAACGCGGCTGCATATCAAGCGAAATGTAGAGTTGGTATTTCGTTTAGTTACTTGTAGAGTTTGCAAGTGCAAACTAATTATTTCTACATTGAAGTACAGTTTGTACAAGTCGTATAATCAATTCAGTGCAAGAGAGCGATGCACGCGATTTAAGCCATTCTTTGCAAAGATTTCGTGTCACGTTATTACCTGTCTAACTTGGAATACCTAATAATGAAGATTGGTTTTTGAAAAGAAATTTCCTCGAGTTTCGTCTTACATTAGTGAGTATTTACATTGAAATTGTATATTTATATATACCTTCGACCAATTTTTAATAATAGTGACTCTATTACATTTAAAAAAATATTATGTTGTCTTTCCCACAAGATTCGTATATTTAATTCGCATTTGGCAGACACTCCTGGTCTCCTAAATTCTTTAAAGGCATCTCTACTCGAGTTCATTAAATGGAAACTTAACCTTTGTAAAATTATAAATACTTTTTACATAATTATTCACATATCGTATTTATAGTTTTACTTATATTCGTACCATTACCAAATCCATTACATTAAATGCAAAGCTATCGATTAAAAACATATCTATTCGAAACTAGTAACGTAAATGGATTGCGAATTTCTTGTTAACTTTGAAGTAGGTCCCGCCACCTTACCTATTTTTGTCGCCAAGCAATAATGTGGGACTTGTCAACTTGCGTCTCTGGGTGACGGGCGCAGTGGCATTGTCCCTCAGATTTTACGATTTAAAGCTCTGAGTGGCACTGCAACTGTTGTGGTCAGGCGTGTCGCTTACCACCAAGCGCACGACTTGTTGGTCCCGTCACTTGGTATTATAAAATAAGTTGTTACGGTAATGAATATATGTATATATTACGTAACACGTTATATAAAGATACAAATGTAAACACTAAATGCATACTTTGTCAGTGGTGTAAAATGATACAAAGTCACAAATTTATGTATAGTAAAAACATCGATATGCGAACTATGAATAGAACTGTAACATTTATTGTAAAGAGAACGAATTAGGAATAAAAACAAACATTTCAGAGAAATTTTAGTTGGCTGGTGGACCTATAATGGAATAAATTCTAAGTAATCACCACTGAATCCACGAATTTTCCGAACTGGGGTAGAAACTTAATAGGGGCGCTCCCTCACTCCGGGGTTTCAGAGAAACTGTTACATAAAACTCACAAATATGTATAATATAATGGGTGGTATTTTTTGTGACCGGGAGAATAAGAACGTTTTAATAAAATTGCACTCTTTATTAACCGTTAGCTAATAACTTTTCCATTTGTGTGACATAAAAATTAATTCAAGGCAACTTATCTAAAAGACAACAAACATAGGAAATGAAACTATTTTTCCGGATTTAAATCGCGTATATTTGTTTTTTCAAACAAACCGACGTTTCGGGCCCTTTACAGGTCCCATGGTCACGGTTGACTGATTTTTGTTGGTTGATTTAATTCCGGAAAAATAGTTTCATTTCCTATGTGTAACAATCGCGAAAACCTAGAACTCGATATAGACAACAAACAATTCAAAGCGTTCAGAAATCGACGTAGTGTAGGTTTAGGTGCGTTCATAAATCTATTTGGGATGTATTGAAAAACGGACTGGGCCCTTTTAAAATCAAATGATTAATCGATAGAACAACGTGCATGCTTGGCGCTTTGTGAAACAACTGGTTTTTTAACCGACTTCAAAAAAGGAGGAGGTTCTCAATTTGACAGTATTTCTTTTTTGAAGTTTGTTAAAAAACCATTTGTGAACCGATTTTGATGATTCTTTTTTGTTGGAAAGAGGGTACCTCAGTAGTCCTCCCAATTATATTTGAAGAAAATATTTCAATTCTAAGGGTGGCAAACTAGGGGATAAATCCGGTTACGCGCACTTTCCGGTGACTGATTCCAATAAAATTTGGCACATAGATTTTTTTTAGGACTCTGTACTGATTTACAAACATATTATGACTTGGCGCTTCCTGAGACTGCCGGCCGGGGCAGGTGCCCCAGTTTGCCCCGTCTAGAGCCGGGGCTACAGCCCCGGCTCCACCACCACTTTCAGATTAATTTATTTGTCATTGCTTACAAGCAATGACAAATAAATTAATCTGAAAGATAGCATTATCATTATTAATGTGTAAATATCGGTCACTGGAAGCTCTTATCGCACACACGTTAAAGTGAATAGCAATTAGTATACATTTGTCGCTTTGCAAGTCGTGTTGGTGGAATCATAAAATGTGTATTAAAATTTTATTTCATTTTTATGTGATTACGCGATAGCTAGAGTGAGAGGAAGATATAAGCAAAGTAAGTCGGGTAATGGACCTATATATAGATCAAGGCATAGTATTAACCTCTGCGCATAATTATAGGTACTGTAAGAAAGATGGATATGTTCTATAGTGAAATTACTTGGCTACATTTGCTATTTTTGTTCTCGTGATAGCTTCCAATTTAAGTGTGTTGTAGTACTATTTTGAAGTTGAAATAGCGTATTGAGTTACAGTATGGATGACTGGGCAAAAATGTGCAATATCTAAATAATTTTCTTATAGGTATTTTAGGCATTTGGACCTCATTTATTTAAAGAACTAATTAGAAAATATAGTATACCACCACTTATTAATTAAAAAATAAATAACTGTCAAATATTTTCGAATTACAAAATACAGGTAATTGAAATACAAACACAAAATATGCATTTGTATTTCATATGCTTTCAATTATAAATAACTCAAATGCTGTCCAACCTTTTTTTCGTTTTATGTTGCTATAAGTTTATTATAATCCAATATTTTCTATGTAAGATTATGGGTGGGTCTATTTCATATGAAATGTACTAAGTAAATATGATTATTACGAAAGTTGCAACATTCAAATCTTATTAGGCTTTGAAAAGCCAAACTAGAAAATTTTTTGTAATATAAATAAATAAATAAATGTAAGTAATAGAGTTTTTCGGAGCCTGCTGTCTACAGGCAAACATTTGATCGATTAATTTTGTATGGTAACGTCACACCGACAACATCCGATAAATCAAATACAGAATGTTATATAATAATTATATTATTCATTGAGTGAACTCATGAGCAAGAAGACTACTCGTATAATGTTGTATTATTATGTGTTATTTAAATACGAAAAACGTGCAAAACGCTCTGTTGAACTTTGGAGAACAGTATTGTAAATACATTGGCCAATGATAATAATTATTAATTGTTAAGAAACTCGAACCAGTGTCTGTTAGACCGGAGGAATTTTTCTTTGTGTAAATAATTATAACAAACTAGTGGAGTAATTAAAAAAAATTGATTGCAAATCACCATGGTACTCAATAATAAAGTCGAGTTCCGTGTTTAGGCCACAGGCTTTTCCGAGTGGCCTAAATAATAGCTACGAGATTTTTAGGCCTACGAGTAAATTAAAGTAATGAAACACTTACAGATTATTTTATTTATATTGTTTTTAAATAGTTGTTTTTTGCACAAGTAGTTACGTCTTTGTACATGTTATGTGATGTTTTGAGATATTATTAAAAAATAAGTTTAATTTGAATTATTTCATAAATATAGTAACGTTATTCCTTCTAGGAACACTTTTGACTGCCTCCGTGGTTGAACAGTTACCATGCCTGACTGTCACGCAGAGGTCCCAGGTTCGATTCCCGGGCCGGTGTAATTTGTGTTTGAAAAAGCAAACAAGCGCAATCAAATGCAATATTGAGTTGTATCACTATGGTCTCACACAAACAAAAAACCAGACCACTGGCTTATTTTTACAAATACACAGAATAGGCCTATAAAAAAAATTGATTCTCATGAATATGCTAAAGACGGAAGTTATCGACGTGATGGTGTCGATAATCACATATATGAAATGTAATTCCACCCTTGGCTAGACTGGATGTAGCAGAGATTTTTTTGCTAGTTTGTATGGCGCAAGACTACATATTTCATGGAGCACTTGACGCGGTGAATTCGATAATGCAAATGAAAAGACATCAATTCGAAAGTAGAGTTTATTGTGCGATGGATTTTTTTGCTTGTACCTTGAGGGGATGCCCACCGACGATGCCTCCAGTCCTAATGCTCTAAGGTGGCGCGTTTAAGGAGACTCTTTTCATTAGCAATAATACGACGTTGTTTTTTTTAAACTCATTATAGCTCTTGAAAATCGGTTCAGTGGCTAGTATCATAGAATTTTGACTCGAAACTAAAAAGAGCCACTGTATGATGATGTTATAAAAAAATATATATGAAATGGACCTGTGAAATTATAATTATTGACAGACTAAAGTAAAGGAGTACAAAAAAATCAATATTGCCTTGGACAATTATCATTATTCGATGCACTATTGATGCATATTTTCATTCGTTGATGTCTTATGGCATCACACTGTGGGGTAATTCAACTGAGTCGATTAGGGTATTTATTCTTCAAAAACCTGCACTAAGAACAGTAGGCATAAAAAAGGGTCAGACCTGCAGAAACCTTTTTAAGAAATACAATATAATGACCATGTACTCACAATATATTTATGATATAATAGTTTATGCTCGTCAAAACTTGGCTACCTATGAGCGACGTACGGGCGGAGGCCGAGCGTTACGAAACGCGGGAACACTAAAATCCGTTGCCCACCGACCGTACTGAACTTGCAACTAGAAATCCGCGGGTAATAGGTCCCCGATTCTACGAACATCTACCCACAGACCTGAAAAGTGTTAGAAACGATGAAACGTTTGGTACCAGACCAAAAAACCTTTTATTGGATATTGAATTGTACAGTGTCGATGAGTTTCTTTTGAAACAATTTTAATTTTATTTTATTCGACAAGCAGTAGTTATACCACTTTATTTTATATTCATTATTATTATTATAATTTTATTACTGACGATCATAGTTATCCCTTGACATTGTATTTCCAATTGTAATATTGTGACATTGATAACATGAAATAAACGATTATATTCTATTCTATTCTATTCTATTCTATTCACTAAGAACTTAAAATTAATGTGCACCATTGCCTTTTGGTTTCCAATGTTTGTCTATTCGATTTCTATAAGAATTAGGTTTATGAGAATTACAATTTGATCAGCGTAAAGTACTTATAGTGGGAGTTAGGATATTGACTGGAACTCAATGAATCCACATGGATGTTAGCCACGGCCACTTCCTCTTAATTATTGTTAAGGCCGGATTAAGGCAAAAGTCCGCCACGTTAACCTGTACCGGGTTCGATTCCCTAGTTTTATTTTCCCCGTGAGTGTGGAAAATCAAATAAAGAAATCCGAAAATTTAAATAATTATAATAATAAAAAAATAAATTCCAATTTAAAATTTTGAAATAAAAAAAATGGTACGTAAAAAACGTCTGGTGAAAAATTACAATTAAGTTTATTACGTTACAATTTGAAATTTTGAAGTGCAATCTTTAAAATTCCTCAAAGCGTATGGTACTATAGTTCACATTAACGATGTATATATCTATATAATCGTAGAAAGAGAATGCAACGTAACCTGCCATAGATTTAACCAATTTTGTTTTTGGTAAATCATGGTTTTAATGTTTTGTAATCAGTTATTATTTAAAAATACGATATATTTGTTGAAGACAATATTTGAGTTAAATTTTTAATGGTGTTAAATTTGAAAAACTATTTATACATCTAAATATTATATACTTTTCTGTTAGTCGACAAATATTTCAATGTCGGTTTAATGCTATTTCGTTTAGGTAATTTATATTTTACATTAACAATAACAGACAGCTAAACATTGTTTAAAGTACTTTTGGTAACCAGAGTCTGCGCTGAACGTTCTGAAAATGGCTGGAATAATTTTCGGTTAAACGCAGTACAAGTTACTTCAACATTTAACAGTGTTCACACACAGTTTAACATATGAGTGCTTACTAGGCGTATTCTACTTTGGTAAAACAGTTGGCGGTCGTCAGCTTGACTCGTCGTACAAAACCGTCAGGCGTTTTGTTTATGAACCTACGCGTTGTACGGCTGGATTGACGGATAAAATAGTCAAGCGTTATCTTAATTAAAATTTAAATGAAAAAGTCGGTCGATGGTTCTAATCTGTGCATGACACGAAATTCTGGTTTTAATATCCAAGTTGTGAACATATGTAAATTTTTAGTAGCAATACTTTTAAGCAAAAGAAAACATCGATACCAAAATTTTTATGTTCAAAAGGGCGCATTGTATTATGCCTCAATTAACCACAAGCCGATGGTAATCTTGTATGTACTCCTCGCCATTGTTGACTAGTCTTGTTTTGTATATAATAGTTATTTAGTTCTGTTGTAGGTAGGTTGAGAAATACAGAAAAAAACAAAGACTTTATTGAAACTTTACTGAGTCAAAGAACGATTTGCTACGCTGAAAGAAAAACTTAACTTATTTATAATAAGTATAATTTTTCGTCATAATTTTGAATAGTATCCAAACATTAGAAAGCTTAAAAAAGTGCAGCATTTATTATATTTATTCGCAAGAAAATAAGCCTTAAGGTTTCCTTGGAAGTTTCATTAGGCACTTCCGCACAGGAATGAAGCATATTGCGATGAATTCAAACTACGTTCGTTGCGGCCTCACCACGGACCCCTGTAACGTGATACCTGACATTTACAGCAATCGTATGAAACTTAATATCTTTTAGGTCACAATTCTTCTTAGAAGAAGACATCTCTGCTTAGACTTGGTGTGGTGTTTTTTATTTTTTATTTTTATCTATTTGGGATAACAACAGCCATACTTAATACAATACTAACTTTAACATACGTTACATTTTGAATGGGCAAATTACAGTTATCCACTAAAATAATTACAGAAATAGACGTAAAATATTACTTAAGAGAGTAAAAACAAAATGTCAGTACATATTAATAATACAGTAATATATACATATAATTCATTAAACTTATATACACAACACTATTATGTATTTAATATAGAAATATATAACGTCATACTACCATTTTGTAAGACTGCGAACCTTGAATATATTATGCAAATGACCAAATGATATTTGAGTACAGCTGACCAATCATTTGATAGTTTTAGTTTAACGTTTGTTTTGAAGCAGGGTTTAGAATCTACGAAGGGGTCAATATGGCCAAATTGGCTATCATACGATCGAAGAATACGCGTGAGAACAGCATTCTTGCCGTAGTTCGTGGAGTGGAAGGGGACTTGAAAAGGTGTCGTATGTCTAGTGCGACGTAAAGGTACCCGTAGTGATACGCTCTCCAGCAATTCTGGACAATTCGAACGTCCACGCACAATGTCATATAGAAGGCCCATGTCCAGCATGTCACGACGTTCTTCAAGAGTGAGGAGACCATAAGCGCGGCAGTCTTTGGTATAATTATTCGTAAAATGTTTACATTTGTAGTTAAGGTGTTTGATAATTTTTTTCTTAATATGTTCGATACGAGATTTATGCGTAGTGTACATGGGTGACCACACGGGACTTGCGTATTCCAATACACTTCACACATATGCAAAATAAACGACTTTCAGACCTAGTGGACATTTAAATGGCTGACACGTTCGCATTACGAAGCCTAGGTTACGGTAGGATCTATCAGTTACGTAATTAATGTGAGAGGTAAACTGCATTTTATCGTCTAGAAGAAGTCCCAGGTCACGCACCACCTTGACTCGCTCTATAATGGCGTTATTAAAAGTATACTGGAATAAAAATTGGGTTTTCCTTGCGAGTAAAACTAATGCACTTGCACTTTCCGACGCTGACTGTGATATTGTTATTTATGTAGTACGTAAAAATATTATTTAAGTCTCGTTGTAGAAGTTCACAGTCCGCAGCAGAACGCACCGGAAGAAAAATTTTGTTATCGTCAGCATACAGTAGATGGCGAGAATGCGTAATACAATTAGCAATATCCAATATACATGCGTTGCAAAATAGGGGACCGAGATGCGGTGCTTTTGGCAGTAGTATTAGTTACCAGCTATGCTTCGAAGCTCGTTCTACCTAAGAAATAGCAGAACTCTGCGATGAATTATTGATAAAATATAATAAACAATAACATACTCGTATATCAATGCACCTTGCTCCCTCTTTCCTTATACTTCTGGCAAAGGAATGTTATACAGTATCTGTGTCTCCCAAAACTACAATTTGGAGCCATTGAAGGCTCGAATGAATAGGCTTTTGTCGATATTGTTGCCAAAAATATATCTACATGTTATAGATATTGCGGTGAGGTGGTAAATCTGTCTTAGTTCATATTGAAGTGGTTCTAGATGCTCTTCGGAAGCAGCATTTACATACAAATGCAAGGGAACAAATCTTTCTTAACAATTTTATTCATAATATACGTGTTTGCACACAGATGTGTCATTATTGTGACCTCTCACCTTAATAAAAGTTGCTATAGAGCCTTTTGTTAATGAAATTATAAAAAAATATGGTGGTTTACATTAATACCTATTTTTTTAACCAACTCCAAAAAAGTGCGAGGTGCTCAATTCGACTACATAATTTTTTTGTGTACACATACAAAAACGCGAGATTACGCGTTACGCCATTGCTTATTGGCATTTGTGAACAGATTTTGATTATTGTTTACTTCTTGGAAAGAGTGTACCTCAGTAATGGTCCTATTTAAATTTGAAGAAATTATTACACCAAAAAGGGAATGAATCCGGTTTCGCCCCTTTTCCGGTAACCGATTCCAGTAAAACTTGGCAAATAGATGTAATTCCACGAATTTTTAATGTCGTTTTCACTTACAAAAGTTGTGAATTTTTACATTTTATTTTTAATTTACTAAAGAACATTCCAATTTACGCTATATACGTTTTACAAAATGTCTTATTTGTGTATACGTAAAATGTGAATTTTTATTTAATCAAATCGAATAGTTAAAAGTAAATTAAAACATATTAGTTAGTACTGCACCCTTATGCTTGCTTAGGATTTTGCTTCACAAATGAATAAGTATCTTTGTTGTTAATAAGTTAGAAGTCCAAGATTGATTATTAATCCGATAAAGGAGTTGTCCAGACGATATATGTATTTTTGCTATTGTAGTGCTTCTATACGAGGAAAGTGTCAGTCAATAGGTACAACAGCGGTTTTGCATACTATCGCATTACCATTACAATAGTGTTGTAATTCAAAATGTGTGAATGAAGATTATACTATTAATCAACGTAAAATTTGATTCTCTGCACGTCAACAAAACCCTAGATACAATATTGTAAGTCGTTAGAATATTCTTCTTCTTAGTGTGCCGTTTCTCTATGAAGGTTGGTGACCATAATGGCTATTCTCATTTTTGAAGCTGCTGCACGAAAGAGGGAACAAGTGCGAAGATGGAACCGGTCTCTCAAATTCAAATTCAAATTCAAAATAATCTTTATTTCATAGGTAAGCATTATTACACTTGAAATCGTCACAATGGTTAAACTCTACCGCTCATTCGTAAGGCAGATCCCTTGAGAAGAATGAGCAAGAAACTCTAGGGGTTGCTTGCTCTTTGTTAATAACATTTACAATTTTTTTTTTTTATTTGAAACATCAGAGATCGAGACTACCTCCATGAGCTAAACGGGTTACTACCACGGATTTTTGTCATCCAAGTACGCAGAAGTTGTATAATAACCTTTAGTATAAAGTTTTTGTTTCACTATAGTTTTAAACCTCGTGAAAGGCAAATTTTGTATATCAACCGGAATCTTGTTATAGAAGCGTATACATTGCATTGTCTCAGATTCTTTAACCACGAGGTTTTCCTTCTGGCACGACTACGCTTTCCTTGGATTTTTCCCTTCATTATCAGTTGAAAAATGCGGTATCTATTACCCCTCATTACGTCGTAATAGATATCTACTTAATTCAAAATTACGCAAACTTTTTGAGAGTGACGCGAGTTTTTCCTGAATTTTTAAAATATATTTGGCAAGTAGGAAACTTTTTTCATGTCTGTGATAATATTTGACCTGTACATGAATCATTCATCAATTCTTAAAAAATACACTTTTAGAGTTAATACACTATTGTATTTTTGATTTCCCTAGTTTTACTTTGATTTTAGCTTTGTGGCGGACATTACCGTCAGTCGTATTCTTATGACGTATAAGTTCATTCAGTAAAAGTAATTTGTGCAAGTCAAGAACTTATTTAAAAAAAATACCCTGATACACATAAACCGTAACAGAATAAAGATAAAAGAACGCGACGTTGGAAGGATAAGTTTTCTACGTACAGCTGAATAAGCACATGTTACAATAACTTATGTTATCTCTACATAAATATTTACTTAGTCAGGTTATCTGGTTGACATATGCGTGTATGATAATATTGCTCCTGTGACAATTGTTATTTCTTATGCAATGCTGCAAAGTTGTTGTTTGGCCCGAGTGCTTGTATTGAAACTTGAGCGTAGCGAGGGTTTTAAGTCACGAGACGCAACACAACTTTGCTGCCGAGCAAAACACATAACTTTTCACCTCACTATACCGAGGAAAATGGTAGATGGAAAACGGTTGAACTAAAAACATCAGATTTAAATCAAAAGAAAATGTTTACCTTTGGATGCGATCTGAATGTACACCTCATCAATTTTTATTCTTGCTTGTATTTATAATTTTTTGTGAATTATTTTAGTTCTACGACGAACTAAAATAATATAATAAGCACAATTAGTTATCATTATCAAAGTAATGCGAACAATAATAAGAATAAAATGTACCAACGGATTTATATTACATAAATAAGTAATGTACAACAAATCGTGTAGTTGAACGCGTCATCTTAGTAGCAGTTTTTTCTATTTCCTATTTCCAGTAATGTGAGCATTACTGCGATCGGGTTTTGCAGGATAAGAAGGGTGCTGGTGAAATTGCAGGCACTTGGGACTTGTCAACTTATGTCGTAGGGTGACGGGCGCAGCGTTAGTGCCCCTCAGATCTTTGCAATTTTTATTCGGCGTGTAGCTTACCGTCAGGCGCACGACTAGTTCGTCCCGTCACTTCATACTATAAAAAAAATATATATTTTTTCTTTCATCGAAAGATAAAGTTGGGTGCACCACAGACCACCGACAAGTTCGAATTTCAAAAACCTTTTCCACTCTAGCGTGCAAAAAACACTTGCGCGTAGATTTCTAATGAGAAAGAAAGCCTTTCTGAGGTAGTGAAATGAAAATATAATTTATTGCTTGTTTTCACAACACGCGTTTCCAATGAATATTAAGTTCATACACAACATGCCGCTGGTGTAATCATAAACACAAATATTGAAGATCAACATCGTGGGGAAGCAGAATCGGGAGTTTGTAAAAAAAAACCACAATAAATCTTTGAATGATTTTAAAGCGAGAAACTTTCTAAGATAAATCCTAAATTGTTTTTAGTTCTTCTACAATCTGTAATCTTGTAAATCAAATTTACAAGTTTTTAATTAAAAATAAAACATGACAATGCCTACAAGTCAAACATCTTTTTACATACATACTTTGTACGAAGTTATCTTCACACATTTGATTAGCGTGCTTGATTATGATCTAACACTCTTGTCAGTGAAAATCGTACCAAAAAATAGAAAGTATTTGGTTTGAAACAGAACATAATATTTTGTAGTGAGGTGCTCTCAAAATGGGTTTGGAGTCCACTGACCAACAAACTTTTTCAATTGGGATTACCGAAGACCATTTCATGTGATCAAACCAAATTCTTCACTACGCCTAAACTGGGATAATATAGCAACCTTATCTACACGATGCACTGACACAAAATTAACAACTCTTCCAGAACTATGACGTGTCTGGACCACCCTTGTCCAGCTTTCAGTGAAGGTGTAGCTGGGACAGCTTTCGCAAACGTTGTCACTCACCTTCTTGCTGCCCAGTGCTTGCTCACTGAACCATGGCCGCAGGACAGTCTGGATAGAGTATCTTGTAAGTAATAGTAAAGCTAATCGTGTAGTAATGTTCATGAAAAAGATCATTAGCACAGTTTCATAATACATTAGTTAGGTACAGAATTCAATTTATCGTTTCTAGCTGGAGAGTCCTTCGACTTCATAATTGTCGGCGCGGGTACAGCAGGTTCCCTATTAGCGAATCGGTTGTCGCAGGTTGAAGACTGGAAGGTATTGGTGATCGAGGCTGGAGATAACCCACCTGTGGAGAGCATTGTAAGTGGCTTGTTAAAGAGCTTACAAGATCGAGACTTCAATCATTGATTACTTTGGAGCCTAACGTTGATGATTACTGACAGACTTTTCAAGATCGTACGAATATTATCGCGGAATCGTATATAAATGCTTTGAAATATTCTATACTAATATCTAAATACTATAATAATTAGTCATTGACTTAATGGCTTAAATTTATTCGAGCAATTATTTATTAACCTTTTATTTACCTTTCAGATACCAAACTTTTCGGGAGCAACACATCGGAGTATACATGCTTGGCAGTACTATACGGAAAAAGACGAGAAGACAAATAGAGGTTGCGTTGATGAAAGGTCCTTTTGGCCTCGAGGAAGAACTCTCGGAGGTACTGGATCCATTAACGGCCTTCTCCATATGAGAGGAAGTCCAAGAGACTACAAATCTTGGCATCAAAAAAATGGCGACGGTTGGGACTGGCTTAGTTTAAAGAAATACTTTATGAAGAGTGAAAAGATGATAGACCCGTTCATTCTTAACAACCCTGATTTGATCAAAGACCATGGTACCAGTGGAGAATTCATTGTAGATCAACTTAACTTTACTCACGTTGGCGTAGCCGAGATGCTAACAGAGGCTTATAAAGAAATGGGATTAAAGTTTTTGGACGATTTGAATGGGGAGACTCAGATGGGAGTAGGAAAAGTAAGAGGAGGTAATCATAACGGCCGTAGAGTAAGCACAGCTACTGCTTTCTTGAATCCTGTAAGAGAAAGAAAAAATTTGTATGTTTTGAAGACTGCATATGTTAAAACTTTAGTGATAGATGAGCAAAAAAGAATCACAGGCGTTAGAGTGATCACAAAATCTGATGCTGATGCAGTTTTTTATGCTACAAAAGATGTCATTGTTAGTGCCGGAACGGTAAACACACCTATGTTGCTAATGATTTCTGGCATTGGTCCTAATAAGCAGTTAAAACAATTAGGTATCGATGTAATAGCTGATCTGCCTGTTGGGAGAAATCTACAAGACCATGTCAGAATACCAATTCCAGTAACTATAAATACTGGAGCTAAACCGAAAGATGACTTACATTGGTTAAAAGCCACTGCCGAGTATTTATTAGAGCAAAAAGGACCTCATGCTACTAATTATGACCAACCGAATATAAATGCTTTTTTATCCGTGCCCGATGGTAAAACGTTACCCGATGTTCAAGTCGACCATAATTATTTTGTACCAAACACTTCATATGTTTACCAAATGTGTACGAATGTAATGTCTTTTAAAGATGAGATTTGTAAACAATTTGCAAACATGAATGAAGACAAAGAAATGATTATTTTCTACGTGTCTTTATGCAGACCGTATTCAAAGGGCAGGATTGAATTGCGAGGCAAATCTGGAATAGGGAATCCAAAGATCTATTCAAAATACTTTAGCGATAAGAGAGATATGGAAACATTCATTAAAAGCGTGAAAAGAGTTATGGAGATCGTTGATACTCCGACGTTTAAAAAAGTTGATGGGGCAATTAAAAGAATATATTACGAAGGCTGTGATGACACTGACTTTGGTAGCATTGAATATTGGGAATGTATGGCTAGAACTGTAACTTACAACGTTTATCATCCTGTAGGAACGGCAAAAATGGGAAAACCTGAAGACCCCACTTCAGTAGTCGATAGTAAATTAAAAGTAATAGGAGTACAAGGCCTTAGAGTGGTTGATGCTAGTGTGATGCCGACCATTCCGAGTGTAAATACAAATGCTGCTGTTATGATGATTGCGGAACGAGCTGCAGATTTTATTAAAGAGGAATATGACGTATTGTATAATAAAAAGGATGAGCTTTGATGACTTTTTTCATTTATAAAAGTTTTTTGTGCTGTTATTTTTAACCGACTTCAAAAAAGGAGGAGGTTCTTAATTCAACCGTATGTTTTTTTGTATGTATGTTACGCGATAACTCCGGTATTTGTAAACCGATTTTGATGATTTTTTTTGTTGGTCTCATTTAATTTTGAAGAAACTCATCCACCTCTAAGGGTGGCTGTTCACGAATGAAGATTCATTTTTATAAATAGTGCAATTATTTTAATAGTTGATTTTGCTATTCTCCAATTCAAGGCGTTTTTCTCTCTCAATATACTTTGAGTAGTGAGAACCGATTTTTATTATTTTCTGTGTCAAGTCCCGTGTAGTAGCGAACTAGGGGATGAATCCGGGTTTGTGCACTTTCCGGTAACCGATTTTAATAAAACTTGGTAATTATATGTACTTCCACGTACTTTTGAGGTCGGTTATTTTAGTACTCTGTACTGAGATTATTTGTAGTTAACATTTAAAGTCTTTAGTAAATAGATTCGAGATAAGCATCAGATTTATTCTTTTTTTTCCATCCTCTATGGATGCACCAAACCTAACTTAGGGGATGGAAAATAATGAAACTTATGGGTAATTGTCAAATTTATTAACTTATGGCTGCTGTCAATTGGCTGTCAATTTGTCTATGCCACACTTAGAGGATGGAAAAAAATAATGCCACAGCAGGAAAATGCAATGGCCAAAGCGATGTCTAACAAGAAATGGTAATTTATCTCCTCATTTTCTATCTCATATACGACGTTATAGCTACCATAAATGTCTTAAATAAAGGCGTTGTTCCTCTAGAGAAAAATTCAGTGGGAATTCAATTTTTCATAGACATTGTGAACGAAGACCGAATACAAAACTGCAAAGTCCACTGTTGGGCTAAGAGGTGTTGTTTGAACGATACAGAAAAAACAGATTGCTCTGTCATGAAGATTTATAGTGGAAGCAATTATAATGTAACGCCAAAAGATCGAGAAACTATCATAAATGTATATCCAACGCTAATACAGCATGATTTAGTAGGTTATTGTGAATTTTCGCTAAATTCAAAGTGCGGTAGAAGTATAAGATACGTTAGACGATTTGTTTATATCCCTTTTGATACTAGAATATCCATTTGGATGAAATCTCATTTGCTTAAGCATTACATGAATGATCAGAAAAGTGCAGAATGCGATTCTTTAGACGAAGATTCTTTAAATGAGTGTAAACCTGTGACTTGCGACCACAAATACGCAGGAGTGAGACCGTTTTACAACACGCGGCAAAAAAAGTGTATACCGGCAAAAACGTGCGAAGCTGTCACAGGCAAAGAAATGCCAGATTTGGTGTATGTCCCAATAAGTAACATTTGCAGAGACTTAGAAAACCCATTGTCGGTAAAAGATGTGTACGACATCAACACTGGGTCTTATGTGACAACAGAACCCACAGACGTTGTATTCGAATTGCGTTCGAACTGTTCCACGTTATCTGAAAATCTGAAACTGTTGACGGACTTGATGTTTGGCAAAGTGTGTGTTAATGATGATTGGAACAAAGTGAACTACAGTCGATGTGTTAGAATCGCCGTGTTGAGAATGTTAGGGTGGTTAGCAGTGTCTACTTTACTCTTACTGTCTTGTGTATTGGTGATGTGGTTCTACACCACGAGTAGACACCACTCTGAAGTGAGCAGTTACACAGTAGGCTCTAATTGGCAGTCATTGAAAGATCGTTGGGCAACGAAAAAGCAGACTTTCGGCTATGGAAATTTATCTCAGACGTCTACGACAACAAACGCGAAAATAAGGAATGAATTATTAAAGGAAGTTATGATAAGAGACATTCCTATGGAGTTGCGGGAGAGCGTGGTGAATATTTGTGACAGGATGGACACAGAAGTGAAATGGAAGCAAAGGTATAGACGCAAGGACTTAGGAAGCCAAATTAGTCTAAGGAAAGTAGAGCACTCTGAAACATGCACGAGTACGGATTCGGAAGAGGACGAATGCACTGAAAATGATAGGCTACTGAAGTGACTGTGAGGATTAGAGTTTTTTTACGCAGTGCAATGTAAATATGCAACTTAAATATACTTGATAGATTATGATAATGGTAAATATAAAAAATTGTAAATAAATAGCTTTTTTATTTATTGGCTAAAAAGGTAAACATTCGACTACACTTTTCCGTATAATTATTAAGTTACGCTGTAGTCGAGAATGGAACGAACTTAATTAGTATAAAAGTTTATTTATACCAGAATTAACTTTCCTGGTTTTAAAAAGTGTTTAAAGAGAGTCAAATTTTTGTTACGGTTTAGGCATAAAAAGCTTTACTCGTAATTGTAAGGAGTTTCCTTTGCTAGAAGCACTCAGTAATGAAAACCGGGGAAAAATGAGAAAGTTAGTACTTAAAAATATTTTATCTACAAATCAAACGCATTTCAGAATATGCGTGTGTATACGTTACATATGTACGTTGTTGTACAGTTTCCAAAGCAAGGAACACCCATTTCCTAATTGAACAAGCCCACAAGGATCGCTCGACTTTGGACTAAGTTCGAGCTAACTTCAGCTTTAACTTAGTAATAAATTAAGTCAGTCTTTGTTCAGCAATTTCGTTTCGTAGTATTAGCATTGAAATCATATTAGCATTACATTAATTACCTTGCTAAACAGATAGTCAAAAACATCGTATAAATGAAATATACTTAACCTTTTACATTAATAATAATTATTAAAAATAAATATTGCATTTCGTATGGTGAATTGCAATGAGGTCCATAAATACCAAATTCGACAAAACAACTCGGCTCTCAATGTACACAATTAAAAAATATAAAAACTGTCGGATGTAGAGACAGCTAGATTCTTTCACAGTTTGATGACCTTCGCCATTTTGGTGATTTTACTTTTAGCCACCGAGTTAGTTTCACACAGTACCTTTATGAGAATGTAATTTATGTTAAGAAGAATAGTATGTTTTTTATGAAAAAAGTAATGACTGAATACGGGGAAGAACACAACTTGTTCTTGAATGTTGTCTTGTAAAGTCACAAGTTCATTCAAGGGGCAATGTATACCTTCTATAGTAAGATTCCGGTTGATATTCAAAATTTGCCATTTACGCTTTTTAATAGTGATATAAAACTTTATATTAAAGGTTATTTACTATACAGCTTCTCTGCGTTTGAAGTGGAATCCGTGGGAGTGATCCTATTAGTACTATTAGGTTGTTTATGTCTAAAAAACTCAGAATAAATCAAGTAAATGATTAATGTGAATAAAATGTTTATTTACAAAGAGAGTTTCTTATTCGTTCCTAAGCTGGTGTCACAGCTGCGCGTACGGTCCGTACGGACTGTCCGCTTTCGGGCCATCCGCATGCGTAGAAGCTCAATTCAGTTCAATTCACTTCACTTCAATTCACTTTTTATAATATTTGAGCATTTATAAATGCAAAATAATAAATTCTCACATGACATTCCCGGATATTCCCATAAGAAGTAAAATATTTCCAAATAGAATATTGATCGACTTTAATTAAACGTTTGCAAGTCGATAATGACTTTTTGATAGATTATGGTACAACAGTAAAGCCAATTTTTGTATAAGCATGTAAAAGAACCTATTTCATCATTCACATTTTACATTCACGTTATTGTCTATGGGATCCGAAGCCCAAAACGAACGCGTTGTGGCTAACGAACTGCGGACGGCTCACGGATCGTTTTGATTTCGTACGCAGCTGCGGTTGTAAATTTTGAGAGTAGACCTTCAGAGCACTGCGGTCAGTGCTCGGAATCGAGTATTTAATTTAATGCGGATATTCGCGGATGACAGTCGCCTATAATGAACGCACGGGTGGTTTGTGCAGAGTTCACGGACAGCAGTTTCTTTAACTCGCATACACTTAACATAGCCAGGCACTAGAGAAACCCTGTGTCGCAGGTGCCATGGACACACACATAGACAACCACAAATTCACTTAAACTCACGAGAGAAATAAATGTAGGCCATGTATAATTGTAAGTCAATGAGGCCATGTAAATATTTCTCCCGGCGCGGGAATCGAACCTGGGACCTCTGCGTGGCAGTCCGGCATGGTAACTGTTCGGCCATGGAGGTAGTCGTTAGGGGGCAGTGTGTTCCGTACGGAGCAATCCGCGTCACTGTAAAACGATATTCACACGTGTTACTCCGCTCCGGTGCTCCGCGCGAACGCGGACGGTCCGTAGATAAATCCGCACCGCTCTGAGTGTTAAATCAATTTGACAATTTGAAGTGAATGAAATAAAGGTATTGAAATTTTTAATAAAATCAACACTTCTTTATTAATTCGAATCCGAGCGTGTACGAATGATTGTGAACAATTATGAATTTTCAGATCCGTCACTTGAGAAATGATTGACAAAAAGTAGCCTATGTTCTTCTCCTAGCTCTCATCTGCATCTACCAAAACTCATCAGAACTTAGCAGACAGAGACAGAGTTACTTTCGAATTTGTAATATTAGTTTGGATTAAAGGCAGTGGTGGATAGCAGACGAGACCTGCATCCCCTTACCGCCTAGAGGTAGGTACTTTAGAAATAACAAATTGAATAAGAGGGCCCGACGTCACGTGCACGCGGTGTCCTTTAAAATCGAACTAACGATTTTTCGGGAATTAAAATTAACTAATGTCATTGCGTTTACGAAAGTACTACGTTATAAGTTAATAAAAATGGCATTAAATAGTCAATACGTATTGGATCTTGCGTATCCACGGTAACGTATATAATAATACTACGATAATAATACGAGGCAAAGCTGTTGGATTTGTAAAATTATTTGGATTCATTTACAAATTTAATCAGTCCTAATTTTCATGTATCTAATGTTCCGGTTTGTAAAGATAAAGGAATTCTTACACATAATTTTTAAAGTAGTGTGATTTTCGAGAACGAACATTGACTTATGACACGAGTTGAGGCCGTGAGAAAATTTTGCCATTGGAGA